TTGGTTGTGAAGGTGGTTATTGGGTTGATTATTGGGTTGGTTGTGAAGCTAGTTGTTGAGTTGATTGTTGGGGTTGGTGGTTGTTGGGGTGCTTGGGGTTGAGGTGATTGTTGTTGGGTTTGGGGTTGGGGTGATGGTTGTTTGGCTGGTTGTTCGGCTGGTTGTTGGGGTTGTTGGGGTGTTGGTTGTGGTTGAGGTGGTGGTTGTTGGGTTTGAGGTGCTTGGGGTTGAGGTGATTGTTGTTGAGGTGATTGTTGTTGGGTTTGGGGTTGGGGTGCTTGGGGTTGGGGTGATGGTGCTGCTGGTTGTTTGGGTGGTGCTGGTTGTTGGGTTTGAGGTGCTGGTGCTGCTGGTTGTTTGGGTGGTGCTGGTGGTTGTCCAGTTTGTTGGGGTGGTTGTTGGGATGGTTGTTGTCGGGTTGATTGTTGGGTTGGTCGGGTTAGTTGTTGTTGTCCGGTTTGTTGGGGTGGTGGTTCTTGAGATGTTTGGGTTGATGATTTTGGGGGTTCTTGGGGTGGTGGTTCTTGGGATGTTTGGGTTTGTTGTGGTTGTTGAGTTGGGTTAAAATTAGTTGGTTTTAGAGTAACAATAGATTCATGTGTTTGAAAAGAAGAAACTGTAGAATGAAGAGTAGTGATTTTCGATTTAGAAAGAGTAGATGAGAAGGCAGGTGAAAAGCTAAAGTAAGCAATTAAAGCCAACCCTACCATAAAGAAAACTAAAGACACAATTAAACAGTAATATGCAACTCTTTTATTCATAATGTAAATATTTGTGTGTATATTTTTTTTTTAGAATTTAAATTTTGAGTTTCTTCCATCTTAAAGAAGTCTGAATAACAGGTATAAATTGATTTTTTTGTGTTATAAAATTGCAACAACGTTTACTATCTTTACTAGAGCTGTATTACAATCTTTGTTTATCAGTGTTGGCCGATGAACTTGGTCATATAATTTTGGTCATAGGTATATCAAACGCTAATAAAAAATGGTTTACTATGTAATATATATTCTAAGCATGGTTTTGCTGTGTACCGTAAAACGCCGTATAAGGTACCCGGGTATCTTACAATTCACATGATAAAAATTTGATTTGTACCCCCCG